ACTTTGGCGGGTCGTTCGATACGGTGGCACAGGGAAGTTGAGTGTTCGGCAAAAACGACAACGACTGTTTTTGCGCCAGTTCGAGGGACTTTACATGGTCGTACGCGGTTTTAAAATCCAGCGACTTATGTTCCAGCAGTCTCTGGCGTATAGTATTGGAATAAAGTCCGCTAATGAACGCATCTCGCAACGCTTCATCGGTATGCTGTTCTGCACTGACGGCTGTAAAGCGGTAGTCTGGCAATAAACTGCGAAGCTTCTGCACAAACTGATCAAGGTTCTGAGCTCCGTCCTGTTTACAAGTGTTCAAAAGATGCCGTGCAAAAACTTCATTTTTCGGCTGTACGTAAATTTCTCGCAAGGTTTCGATGGCTGATTCATAGTCTTTGCAATCTGATGAATCGGTAAACACTAGGGGAGACGTAATTGAACAAGGTTTTCAGTTTATCTGGTGAATGAGAACCGATTGACTTTAGGAAGTTTGTGAAAGTACAAAACCAATGCTCCCAGGTATCTGCCGAGTCTTGAGTATTGGAATCGGTATCGAATCGTTTTGGGACGTAAGAATCGATCCATTGTTCGAAGAAAACTTTTTTTTGGATGAATAAATTGTTGTGTACGACGAGGGTCGGAGCGCAACGACAATCAGAATGGTAATGGAAAAGACGGAGGGCCCGAAAGCTAGGCTTTATTCATCCAAAACTTTGACACTGAGAGCTGAAAACGGAAGAAAGTGCTTTAGCAATAAATGATGTAACGTTTGAAAAACAGAGCAAATATACAACAGGATATACCCCTGACATCAATGTACTAGTTCTGATTGTTGATTTGAGCGCTCGAATTTAACGATTATACGATTGTGTGCCCCATTCGACCTTTAAATTTGGTGATCTCACCCCAAGTTGTGCGCAAATGGCGGTCTGTTTACTTCAGGCATCGACTTTCAGTACAAGCGAACTCATCCCACCCCCGGGCCCACTCCGAACTACAAGCAACTCTACTTGCGATTGCGACTAACTTGTTTAGTGCCACACGCAGCATTGGTAGTTACGGCCGTTGCGAACGTATCCACTTCAGTCCACATGTTTATGGTATGACTTAGCGATAGATTCACTTGCGTCTGACGACACAACTGATGTTCGAAGAAGAGCGCGAAACAGCCGTAATGTGACGATATACTTAACAACTTCGAGGACAAGAGACTGCACAGTGCGTGGAGCTTATAGTAAGCAGGTAGCGTGACACAAACTGCTGGAGGTTGAAATCATGATTAGAATATACAGTAAAGTGGAGTTAGATGATATCACTGAACGAGGCTTTCATGTATTGGAGATGAGTTGTTTCCTTTGATACAACAATATGGACGTCAATCTTGCCTTTCTATGTGCTCAGTTGACCATTCACCATGCCATAGGGAAGTAAACATTTGCTCTGGAATTCCATTGCGCCCAAGAACCCTCAAGGAATAAGCAAAGTGAATCATCTAGATTTCTCTACACGACAGCTCCGATAGGCAGAATGATCGAACCTGGGAAGGGTTTTAGGGTTAAATTTGCCGAGGTCCTTAGTTCGGCCCTCCCGAATACCCACTAATGACGAAACTATCGGTAGATTTCAAAAATTGAACAAGGTCCAGATTCACTGACTATATTCTGGGACAGCGAGTAGGCACTTGCTAATGTGATCGCATGTTCAACGCATATTGTTTAAAATGAGTGTCTTGTTGCCAGATAAATGTCCTGTTTTCACTAAGGGCTACTAGGAGAATGCATCAGTCAAGTTGTGGTTACCTCAAAACTTCCTGTATCGTCATCTTGGGAAGACTCCGCAACTCCGGTTAAAGTCGAGCAGGGCTTCGATGTGGATACAGTTACTTCCATCTTTCAACGGCTGGAATACTGCGATGTTTGCAGATGCCGAACCATTTTCATTTTGTTCCGAAAGCTACATTTGACCAAGGCTGGATCGTATGCGTATATCTCTTTCCGTTTTACTTATTAGAATCTCGGTGAATCCGGATGGCCATTTCGTTCCCAGGGAAAAGCTTGAAGCGTAAGCCGACAGACGCAGGAATTCTGTCTAGTATTTATCACGATGAATACAAATGGTATGTTCAGTGTATCTCGCTATTCACTATTGACTTTTCAGGACCCTTTTCAAGTCTGTAATGCTGTTCTGTGTAGGCAGCTTCGGGTTCTTCGTTATCAATGAAGCCTTCAATAGCCCTCCAGAACCAACGGCGGTTTTATAAGTCTTCCATTAAGTTCCGTTTTGTACAAACATAGACGCGACAGAATACATAACTCGTTGTGATGCGTGTTGGATTTTTCTTCAGTTGCGCATTGTATTCCGTTTGTCTGATATGGCGGATCGCTGATTGACGTAAACAGAAGTACGCACAGCGTGTTTCTTCAAACCCTATTTACCCGAACATTTACTTGGTAATTAGTAGTCATTAGATTGTTTCACAGATACCAACTAACGCTCGTTGGAGGTTAGGATGAAAGACTGTGGAGGTCATCTACATCAGATGGATAGGGAGTGAACAGCTTACCAAACGGCGTTTATAATCTGGAATGGGGACAGAACTATAACGGTCGGATGACATGGTTATGGGTTTTACATCCATCCATCCATACCCACATACATCCACTGCGTCACAGCAGAATTAACGGGCAATTCCGTGACGCTCATTTTATCGGCCAGTAAACACCTTCCGATATACTGATATGTTCACTATTGACGCGGTCTGTTGTAGCAACTACATATTGCCCATACTTATTTGGTTTTATCTAAGGACCTTTCTGCCACCAACTTTTCCCACCAAGGCGACGTTTTTTTCTCTTTTCGGTAGCATCGGGAACCAGTAAACTTATCCCAAATGGCGTGTGGAAACACCAAATAAACGTCACATTTGGTTTTACTGGCGGACGCCCAAAGAATAGCTTGGGTTTTACTGGTGATATCTACTCAGTAACCAACTCTTGGTCAAGGTTTTCTGTAGATTATCCCGCGTTCTAGCCTGGTATGTGTACATTCAACCTACTATTTATCAGGCAACCATGGTTATCTTGGGAGAAATCTGTCCAGAATATCCTATTAGCTCCATTGCACCGTTATGTCGAGCTCATCGTTACGGCGTACATTTTTCAAGAAGTTTGTGCCGTTTTTTATCTTTTCTTCCAAGATGTTAAAATAGGAAATAATAGCCGTCCATCTGTGGCACTGTGGTGCATTGCTGCCGTACAACTCAAAGGAGCCCGAGGGTTGGGATACAACCAGGCTTACCAAACCTGGACAAGGGTATTCGAAATGCCAGGGTTGGGTTGGAACAATGGACTTCTCGGTCATTAATTTCGCACTTTAACCACTGAACTATCTTGAGGTTCAAATAGAGGACTTCCATGTCACATTCTTCTCAGAAAACGAAGGATGCCGACCCCGTCTCGTTCATGTTAGCAAACGTTTCTCTACATTTGTTTATGCATATCACACTCATCGTTCCTTAGGTGTTTGGTTTTGTTCGTTAACCCGTCGTCCATGTTTCATACTGCCAAATTCCGCAGGTTTTATTGGGTGGTAAAATGTATATTGGCGTTTCCAACTGCGCCGATGTTTGTTTTTACCCTTTGCGTTTATGCGGCGTCAACCTCAGTGGCCGATAGAGGTATGTAATTGCGTTGCTCTACGGAGTATATCAGTAATGAGTAGCTCATCTTGAAGACAGATCGTCAGCTTTCTTGTGTGTTGAATGTTGTAGTGTGCCGTAGTATTTAACTACAGCTGTCGACAGTTCAAACGCCTTGGTGTGTTCGTCAGTGGTTTAGTATACAGTCCTCAGCGTCTTTCGGGGACACCATCACTTCGTAAGATTCGCCGCTCCAAGCCCTTTTTTGAGTCGCGGGCTTTTCTACTCGTTTGTTCAATAATTATGTTAGAGCTAACCGTTTTTACTAAACACTTCAGCTGTGCGTAAAAGTACGGAACGGAGAAACGAGGTAAGTCCGCGGGACCTGACCTAATTCTCCGAGGTTGTTAGGCAGCTAACCCTGCGGTGGTGTCAAAAGTAGTTTTCTGTGACTACCCCATAGACCCAGACTTGGTTTCTTGAAAATTCAGGTCGGCGGTCTAACTGATACAGACACCATTCGAGGGCCCGTAGAGTGTCTTACCATGGGACACTGGTGTTCTAAGCGTATGTACTGCAAGCAATTGCTTTCGTTTCGTAGCTAACTACAGATCCATTTGCTGATGCTAGAGTTATTGGTCATACGGATCTATTGTTCACCCTAAATTGGTCCAGCCAATAGGCTTCCCTCATTTGGATCTGTAAATGACCTCAAACGTTAGAAATTTCGAAATAATAACTCCCAAAAGTACGGAAAGTGGCTTTCTGTGACTGCTGTTGTACACACCGTGTACACCATTGTTACACCAGCTAATCATTAATGTGTGCATTGACTTCTAGCCTCTGGGGTACTCTCGGTTTTAATGGTTTGGCTGTCCCCACAGAAATCGGTAATTATGGGCCATCGGTTGGGCTTGCTGACGGCTTTAGAACAAGATGTGATTCGCAAATACTCACGATCATTCGTTCTTTAAGCTAAATCCGTTCGAATATAAACATCCTTTCATTTCTGAGGCGGTTCGGTGGAAGGTCTGTTTGCCGTTCGGCACCGTGCACTTTTCTAGTAGCCTAATATCTCACATGTTTTCTTAATTCGCTTCCAGCTGAACTCCAAACGTGCGACTGGCTTGTTCCACAACCTCCTAATGGCACATGATCAGACGGCTAGTGCGAAGAAGGAGGACCATGGTAGTATTTTATTTTGTTTAATCTCTTACATTTACCGGTTGTAGCAAGCTCTACCAAGGAGAACACGTTCGCCATTCACGTTGAGGACGTCCAGCGAATGGAAAGCCGGTTGCTTAAGCTTCTAGATGACTTCAACTCAGAAAAGATGCTCTCCTTCGGTTAACAAAGCTCACAGGTGCCTAACATGAATTTACTTACAGGTCCAAACTGTCCATACGAAAAGTTGAATGCCATTCGCGATCAGCAGGAGGATTTGATGAGGTTACATTTCGAGCAAGACAAGAAAATGCAAGCTCTAATTGAATCTGGTTCACGCCGTGGCAGAAAGCCTGTACAATCGTAAGAAATTTTTTTTTATAATTGCGTACCCGTACAGACTGATCTCTGAAGAAGGCTGGAAGACCACCAAGAGCAATGTGGATGCTTTAATCACTAAAGTACGTTGGATGTTTGCTTTCGATGTCTTGCTCCATGTTGCTGAATGACGCACCTTGGAATTCATCGGATACGAGTGCGTGCACGACCTGTTTGTCCTCTATGAACTTGTGATCATTTGGATCTAGTCCTTATTAGATGAACCTGGATAAGTGGGACTTATTGATCTGACGCTGGAATTCCGTGCAACGTTTTTGGCGAATTGTTACCCCTCAATTTCTCCAGCCTTCTTGATTGGATTAGAATAGCACAGCTCTCACCCGTCTTTAATGCGTCCGACAAAGCGAATGACAGGTATGAAGCGGAGCTGCCACGAAGAGACTGAAACCTATCATGGTGCAGCGGCTTGCTTGCCTCAGCAACTCATTGAACTATAGTGGAGAGTGCCCATGTGACATCCACATTTCTCTTCTCAGCGGATAAAGGTCTGACGTGTGCAGTCTCCTAGCCTTCCTGGTTAGGAGCTTGGATCAAATGTAGCAACCTGTTCCCTTAAAGCTAGGCTTCTGTGATAGTATTATACTAGGCATTGCTGCTTTGCGGGTACTCGATTGAGCAAAAAGCTTTGATTTAGGACCAGTATCCTCCTTCTGTCTAGGTTTTGGTTCCCTGATAGCACCTCAGCCCACGTACAATCGTAAATTGCGCAGACGAAAGCATCTTTTAACCACATTGGTCGTACTGCTTGTTGGTACTAGCCGACTTGCCTTGTTGGGCGCATAATCCAGGTGGATTAGCATATTACAGTTATCGCCTCCAATTTTCCTTTAGTCCCTTTCAACTCCATTTTATGGTCACATTTCCGTAGATCCAAACCAAAGGCACGTCACTCAGATACACCGACCGTGCACCACCGCTCACATTTACTACTCCACGTCCAATACTCAGACCTCGTCTCCCATCTTTATTACTTGGGCCCTTAGACAGGATGGCAAGCAAGCTGTTCTCCGGGCACTCTTGATACCTTATCAAGGCTTTTTATTCTACTCATGAAACCAAATACAAGATCTAGATGCACAACTGAGTTTGCAACACCGCTGTCTAGACGCTTGTACCACGGAATTCGGGTGATTTTTCAGTTGGTACAGTTGGTTGATTGTTTTCACAATCACTGAGTTTTGTGGAACCAGAACAACTACGATGACCGTGATGATTCAGGGATTTCCCTCGAATGCCAATCAGTCAATAGCCTAAGTAATATCAGAATGCACCGATGGATCGCGAAGGCCAAGCAAATGGAAGCTTTTTGTAGCATGGACTATCAGTGTCTTATTTTAGCTGGTTCCACAAATCAACCGGAAGAAGATGAGCGTCGGCTCATCAATGTGCGCAGAGCAAAGAGCAAGTTGGATTATAAAATCTCAAATGGAGTGACTGAGCACTTCAGAGGGCAGTTTCTCTACAAGCGCTCTTGAAGGGATCTGTGTACTTGAATAGGACGTTGAAACGAGCCCACTATAAGTAATAAAAATCCAACACATCAACACAACAGGCCTTCTGGTTGGGACGGTTTGCATTCTGCATTCCAACCAATGAGACAGAAGTATGACATGTCTTTGTTATTGCAACAAGCTCCGCAATATCGAGTGATAGAGACAATGACAGACGTTGCCAGACGAATAGGGCGATTCCGATGGGAGATGTAGCCGTCGGGATCTCACCGATCAGCTCTGTGACTTGAGCAGCCTCCTGATCAATCGATATCGATTCGAAGGCTAAGAACAGAGATTTACTGACGATTTTGTAGGTTACATCTTGACCCTTGACCATCAACACACCAACCGCCAGAAGTACTATACCCATAAGCACATTAAGTGCATTGGTGACGATGGACACGATTCCGAGCTACCAAAACCTCTGCAGCACACAAATGCCTCAGAATGAATCAACCGATGGAAGCAAACATTCAGAACAGTCTGACAAATCTATGACGAGCAATATCAAACGAAGATAGAGCACATGAAACAGTGAACTCGATATTTAATTTGGGTGCGGGATCTCGCAAAAACCGGAACGGAAGCAGCGTTTTAGCTATAACGCTTAGGATTCTCCCCATGGTCATATTATGGGAGTTGACCTAGTGCCGAGATCTGTAAGAGCCAAGCTAGAATTCACACAATTGTTGGATGCATTTATCCTAACTTCATCGAGGCACGTGCTTAGATTGTGTCACTCTGTTGAACGGTCGACATTGATTGCTTTCCTTCTATTGATGTGAAGTACACCTTTCTGTCTGTCTGTCTGTCTCCAGAAATAATGGGAGTATCTGGTAATCTGGGGCGTCCGTTTTAAATTTGCATCCCTAATGAATGCGGAGATGACAGCCCCTGTTGATGAGTACGGGTATACGGTGGACCTTAGCCTGAGTTCACCACTTTCAGTGGTGTTAGATGAGGCTGCCGTGTCTCAGCATTCATCGTTGTCATTGATGTACCGTTTGATACTTCTTTGGCCACCTATGAAACCTTTGGAGTTGGAATGTTTCCTGGGCGTTTGCTGACAGTGCGCAGATGGCACTTCTCTGTCTGGTTAAGATTCTTTAGAGCTTCCAACAATTGTGAATCAAGCGGTCAATTCTGCCGAACATTCTGGTATGAACTTCACAAAATGTGAAGTGTTACTACGGGACTGTGTGGCATAAAACCCGCACCTTATGTAGAGGAACCAATAGAAGTAGTAGTTAAACTTATTTACGTGAGCGTTTATGCAAATACCAACGGAGTGGCTGAAGGCGAAGTTATTTCTGGAGTTCCGATCAGGTTAACTTTAGTTTGTCAACGGAGGTCAGTACGTTCCATACTGGTTCGTAGGTGAGACATGACCTATGTAAGCAGAAGGTCCATGAAAATCACCCGTGTTTCACCGTCCGTGTCTCCGGACTTTCTTCAAGCTAGAATTTCTTGTAGTTGGGTATTCTAAAAGCGTAACATCGGGGAAAGAAAGACGTGTTATTGTTTAGTGAACCGTTACAATGACGGTCAACGCTCGTGCTATAGTTCTGAATCAGTTACAGCAGGTTAAAGTCTAGTGATGTAAGGGTAAACATAAGGTCGAAGTGCTGAGGAGGCATGTTCACGGTGCATACGTTCTACTACCCACGTTCAGCGAATGCACGTGTGTAATAACCAATGAATAGGACTTCTTGCAGAACGTGACCACAATCGTGGCGCAATGACACCTGAAGGTCACTCCGCTTTTTGGAGCATCTCTTAGTCTACTTGGCATGTTGATGTTTTGGATCAATGAATAATAAAAAAGGATTCAAAGGCATCAGCCAAAAAATTTACACCAGGACCATATTGTGCCTTAAATAATGGCATCCTTCTGGAAAATGCGGTAAAACTTCATTAGAGTAAAAATTGGTTTAAAATATGGACTTTTGGAAAGGCTGTCATTCTTCCTAGGAATAAGTTTTTATTGTAAAGGCAGTTGAAATATCAAACGAATGGATTGGAGAAAATATTGAGAATCCCGTAGACCAACACTAGCGTTCATAGATGTGTACAAATTACGTACCGTGTCAGCTATGTTCTACCTGTGATAGTTTGGCAGAATTTCTCGTGCTTCAGCATCCACAGAACTATGCTCGTCTGTTTATTATTAACTGGAATTGTGTTGTTAGTCATTGGTCTGCCAACTGGGTTTTGGTAATGAAACGATTGTCACAAAATCTCTTAGCGAACGAGCAAACGGCTAACTGCGTTTGCTTATTTCAAACAATAGATAACTGCTCTCCGTCCCCTGATATTCAAAATCATCGTTAACACTCGTTTGGATTTGTCCTCTAATTTATGATTAAGCCTCATGGCAAGATTCAGAGGTAAAGATTCTGTAACTTCTTTAGACAATTCACTCAACCGACAATGCTCACGCGAACCGAAGTCAAAACTAACAGTGAACACGACATTTTTATGTGCAGTGTACCTCTGGAGCCTCCTACAATGTACCAGGACGTCGCGTTCTGCACCTTTTACCTATCTCATACATTCAGGTGAGAAACTTCAACGCCTGTCAGTGTATTTGGCCACATGGCTGTAACATACTGCTGGCCAGCTGAATTTGGTCGATATTCACTGAAAGGGAGGAATTCGTTTCAGTGGAGCCATAACACGGCCTCGTAACCGAAATTTGCTGGTACGCATTTCGTCAAAAAGGGAGTTACTCTTGAAGAACACTGATCACAATGTTACTAAAAACTTCTAAGTAGCCTGTGACGGCTTTCACACTTCTAGAAGCCCATACCAGAATTGTCGTCTGAATTATGTTCCAATTACACTCCAATACACTCACTTGAGATTCCGTCGAGTCTCCGCTGCCAAAACCAAATTGGTTTGTAAATAGGTTCAGTTCGTTGAATCACCCTAATTACTTTTAATGTTAATAAGCATGTTACAACAACGCGGAAGAACTCACCAGCTTACAGAGCTGGTCAGTTTAGTCTTGATCACGGAGTTTGGCGAAAATATGGTACAGGCACTGTCCCAGGAAACGCCTCATATGCGTTCAAGTATGCTTCTCTAGATTTTCCGAAAGGCCAACAAGGTGTCCGAAATAATGTATGGCAGAATATAGCCTTTAACCTTGAGGATGATCGCCTCAAGCTGAAGCGATTTGTGTTTCCGCCTTCGTTGATTGCAAGTAAGGAGTATCCTGTTGCCTTGGAAGTATAACCAGTTGACGGTTAAGTAGGTCATGTTACTCGATTTTAGCTCATTAGTTCCTCAGTGAGGTGTATTACGTCATTTCATTATATCGCGCTATCTCGAATTTCGTACCAATTGAAACATGATAGCCTGGTGCAGCACCTTTAGTTGCTTAAAGACATAAACGAGAAACTCAGCTGGGTTCCAGGTGAGTATCATGTGAAGAGCAAATTGGTATACAAATGCGTGTATTTCACTAAGACTGATGTATTTTGATAACAATAGATATCAATTTGCAGCGATTAGTTTCGGACCATGTCAGTTTTATACATCCACTCCATGTTTCCCGTCGCAGTGAGCTTTGAAGCTGCCGTAATTGCGCAACAAAACGTATTCCATAGATTGTATATGTGACTGTGTGACATGGAGTGTGTAGTTAACTGGAAATCACTCTACTGACTGATTAAGCTTCCTCGGGTAACTGAACAATACATGGATAGTCGGCTCGGGGATTTTATCAACTGATAGATGAAAAATCATGCTCGTCTCCTGAAATGTTCAAGCAAATGGTTATCAACCCTTACGCAAACAAAGCCTATTTGTGCTCTTTGTCAATGTTCCACATTGTCTGTCTCAGTTTGTTCGGTTTTATAGTTCTGTGTCTTATCATGCGGCCTTTTGATTTCTGTCTCCTTTTTTTCTCGTTTCTAGTTGGAGGCACTCAGCAGTGACATGTAAGCATTGTTTTTGTTCAACCTCCGTTACTTGTCATGGCAACTCTTACTGGGGCAGAGTTCGCAGCAACGACATGCGTGAAGTGGGAATTGAGCAATATCTCTAGATTCAGTCTACTTTTACGATAGATCATCATTGAGCTAATTTTACGATATTGACGTTCGAAAATAATTGTACCAAACATCACCTACTAAGTTGATGACTTTGTTTACCTGTGATCTAATGGTACCTGAATCAGATCGTGAGACTCCACGCATGGTACCTCTGGAGGCTCACTGATCAGCTTTATCAACAAGTTCCGTTTCTCATCTCCGGGAACTCTGTCCTTTTTCGGAATAAGCTTCATTGTTCCAAGACAATAGGTCAAGTGCCCAGAGCATTATTGATCCCCAGCGATGGACGTGATTTGGTTATCATAAGTCTCAATTTTCTGGTCAGTTCCCTATAGAAGAAACTATATCCAAGATGAAAGTGATTTTCAATTTTCCGTGGGTCCAGATGCCTCAGTGTTCAGAACGCGAATTTACCAACTGGAAGGCCCATGGTTCGAACCCGACCTCTGGCTCTCGACTTTCCTTGTCTACGCTTGGGCACCCATGCAGTATCCCAGCCCTCGTTCTTCCTTCTGGTAAAATGGCAGTTAGGCACCGAAAAGGTGCTGCAGCTGAACGTTTTGGAAAACGATACGTAAACTTTGACTTGTACACTTATTTGCATACCAATTTGGTTTGGACGGGGGACTCACCTGGAACCCAGCTAAATCTCTCGTTTGTAATGTTTTTAAGCAACTTATGGTGCTGCACTAGACCGCTTCATGTGTCACATAGTACGATATTCGAGACATCGTGATACATTGGTATGCAAATGAATATGTATGTCAAATTTCGTGCAATTGTGGTTCAAGTGGGACATAAGGTTGACGGAAACTCGGGGATTGCGCCTATCTGGTGAGCCCGAAGTAGGGCAAAACCGGTCATCAGTTGTCGACGAACTTTGAGTAGTGGGACGTAAACTTATTCAAGAATCAGTATGGAGTTCTAGCGTTCTCACGATACATTCAACAAGGATAGCGGAAAACCATGTTTATGCGAGCTTAATCTGGGAGCAAACTAAACTTTTTCCGGTCAGGTACATCAGTTTACTGCCAAATTTTCAGTCAGTTTGACCCTCCGCTCTGCAAAGCTGTTCCTCATCTTGTAGAAAGTGAAATAGGTTTTGAATTATGAAATTAGCAAAGTCACTCTCCCCTGGTTTTCGTGAAGTGCACACCATTGCCAGTCACCAAAAAGACGAAACAACTACGCGGAGCTTGTTGACTCTCTAGAGACGATCGCCATTGCATCACAGGACACAATCCTCTACGTACCAAACATGAATAGTATTCCCTCCAGAACCATCCTCTGAAAAGTAGTTACTGGAGGAGCGTCCAAACGAAGTCGCTGAATCTATGCGGGTGAAGGATGGGTGAGGTACATTGGGTAGTAACTACCAGGTTTGGAGTGCAAGTTTTTACCTCATCCCGAAGGATATAGGCGTCTTGTTCTCCTGAGGTTTGTTGATTGCGCAACATCTTTTGCTCTCAATAAGAACCAATCAACTGTCTGACGCCTTTAGGCTTTCGAACGTTCGTCGGTTTCGACCTCATGAGGAAATCCACACTTCTCGCCGCTCACAACTTTGCAGAACAGATAAAAAAAATTCGAAATTGAGCAAGTGAATAAAACGCCCAGCGAAATACGACACCCCGTGCATTTTGGAACTCCACGAGCGTCAGGAACTGGGCCGTATACCACACGCGCGCGTCATCCGGGCACTTGCTATGTTAGCTAAGCTAACGTTAATCGTAAACGAGAGCTTCAGCTGGATTGAGTTAAGTCTCTTATTAAGAGCAGCTGAGTGCTCAAGTGGGAGTATTTGGTGAGTGAATTTTTCTCGTGTGTTTTCATAGTAGCTGATTTTAGTAGTCTGTTGCATCGTGAATACAATGCAGCTTGTGCTGGCTAAAACCGAGGTGCAGTATCCTAGTCTTGTAGATAAAGGACATTTCTCCACACGATTAGTCGACTTCGTGGCCATTATGTGGACAGTTGCTTCTTACTTCTACCATCCGTAAATCTTGCCTTTTTTAAGACACAACCTACATAAACCTGGTCACCCGTCTTGAATGTAACTTACGGGCTCCGAGATCGTTTGGCCGACACAGACGACCAATATGACGTATCCACAGCTCCCAACCGATCAACAGCCTTTCCATCTCAATCCTGGCTCGCCTTGTTGTTCAGTCAGCCTGTATCTGTGATGATTCCGGAGTTCCTTCTGGAGACTATTCTTGTCTATCATGTTCGGGGGATTGTTATTCATACTCGTTTTATATTTGGTACATATATTTTATTCTTGTTCGGTCTATCCTTCTCACTTCTCCTGTGCTGACTCTGCTGTTCCTTTGGCTCCGGGGGCTAGAATTTTCACAATAGTGTTTGTGGATCATTAGCGAGCGGGAAGCTACTAATGATGAGAAGTAGCTCATCCATATACTCTCAAGATTCCTAATTAATATCTTTACACCTGAAAACACTCTGTGGCGGTGTTTTGTGATGGCACTCTTATGCATAGAACGATAACATAATTTCTACAGGTTAGATAGGACTAGCCTCTGTCGGATTTTTGGTTTCACGCGTTTATGTTCTTAACCAGTCGTAAGTAGCCATAATACATCGAGTGTTCGGTGTGCAAGCTTGATATTTGGATTTGATCCCACTCAGTTTTATTGCTTCAATTTACACTTTGCAGACATGACAACTCATCCGGTAGAGCTTTTAGTTTATTTGAAATGACTTGCATCCCCGAAGGGTTTGAATCAATGACAGCTATCTTGTCTGCGCACCCAGTGTATGTCAGTGAACCCCCCAGGAGCAAGTCAACCACCTGGGTTTCGGAGACGGAGAGGGATGTGTCAATAATAGTTGAAAAAAATGGTTGAAAGAGAGCAGCCTTGTCTTACACCACTAGATATGGCGAACTTGGGTGACAACTTTCCGCATATCCGCGCGTATCCAGAGAACTGGGCTTATACTCTTATTAGGTAAAAGTTCAGGATGAAAACCTTTCGTCGCCATTCATTGCCCCGTTTTTTTGTGGCACAGAGTCAAAAGAGCTAACTCAATGAAAACCTTTCGTCGCCATTCATTGCCACAGTTTTTTGTGGCACAGAGTCAAAAGCAGCTAACTCAAGAATGAGACCATCGTTGGACGTTTGAACTAATGGCTTTATTTGACCATCGCAAAACACAAATATGGTCAATGCATCTTCACGAGGTTGCTTGTCACAAATCCTCTCCCGGTGATAAATCAATCTATGCGAAGAACGCCGTGTATTTTGCCTCTACCTGGTTTCCGCGTGACGTTCTTGTACCCTTTTTGGCCTCAGGAATCACGTTGGACGCGCTCTGCTCCATCAGTATTCTCTTGAATCCTTATTCATTGTAAGGGGCTTCTCCATATTCTTTAAAGGGTGCGAGGTGTCTTGCCGTATTTGGAGACCGATGCTATGCACTGGACTTCTTTTGCTGATGGTCGGCTAGTGTTGGTGTTCCATTTGGCTACGTAGGGTCCTTTCAGAGTTTGCATTGAGGAAGGCTAACTGAACTGTCCTGTGGAGTGCACAGCCTGTGTCTCAAGGTCACCGTTGTGTGAATGGACTGCCGCTCCCTTTGTTTTCAAATCACTTCACTGGCACTCGTCTTTTGGCCGATTGATTGGATCAGCTGATGCAGGGCGCTGCTGCAGCGAAGGCCTTTTCAAACTCTTGAACCTTTGAAGTCCACCAGCATCCGTCATTTCTCAAGCTCTCGATTGCCCGAATTTTTAAGGATGTGCGTATGCCATTGTGGACCCTGGTTGCTGGTACGGCTTTTACGGAATCAACAAGTTCTACGAAATCTAGTGCCCATTTGGTCCAGTTGGTTGCCTTCAACAGACAATCTTAAAAGTGACTGAGTTTCCGGTGGCTTTCTAGCCAGGCCAACTCGATACTGTGAGCCACTGAAACCCGCTAAATTCGGCGTGTTTGGTCTCCAGTTGCGTACCCTAGAGGTAAGGGCAGTCTTTAGTTGAAGCTTTTCCTGGGTAACTGATAGCCCTATAATCTAACCAAGCCCATGACTGGTTTATGGACAGTGGCCTCCGAATAACCCAGTGTGAGCTCCTCGCCTGCAAGTTCGCACTGACCAAGAGCAGATTATGTTCAGCACACAACTGAAGAAGTTGTTCTTTTTATCCGTACACTGGGTATAGACTATGAAATGCTACTCAACTGTGTTACCTTCAGGCTTCGTTGTCAAACTTAAGCGTTCGTATCCTCACCAGGATATTCGCCGTCACTGATCGGATCATTCGTGATGGATTTTGACGAACCCCATCTTGTCCAGCTTCAAAACTGTTGATGCACCAAACGCCGCTCGCCGCATCGGCGTTCATTGACAACCGGACATTGCTTACTCGGATCCCGTCCAGTAATGCCATAGGCACAACATAGGATGACCAGATAACAATAGACTGAAGTATGAAGTGTCTGAGCTCGTTTTAAGCGGCTCTAGGTACGTGGCCAATGTTGGGTCTTGTATGCGTATTTTGAATACCACATATATGAACAGTTAGGTGGAGCAAAGTTCCGGTGGCTGTTGCCCAAAAGTTGATCTCGTAAGTGCGGTGTCGGCAAATAGTTTGCTGATGGGATAATTATGAAGTGCAAATGTTGTCACTCACGAAACCTCTACGGCATCGTAACTGTTAAGAGAGACTACGCTGTCATAATTAAGTTGGCACTAATTCACTATGTTAGCTTCCAGTTATTACGTTCGAGCATCAAGCAAGTGAAGGGGATGGTGAAGTGGACCGACGCGACCAGAACTTAACCACTGAAAAGTCAGTCGGTGCTGTCCAATTTTTGACCTCAGCTCATCGTGACGAACCATTTAGAGGGTTGGAGCTGTTCGAAAATGACTGGGGAATGAAACAAAGACACTGGGTGCATTTTTCAAATAATCCTGGGCTGCAGGGGATGTTAATCACTCAGGGTAAAGGGAATATAGTATTCTCCGCACGAAAGGGTGAGCTTATTTGGCGTTATCGCCACAAATCCAAGACATCCACATTCAAGCAGCTTAATCATCAAAGTGAATTTTCACGGCATTCCCATTCATTTATATCATAAGCAAACCTAAGTAAATGATTGGTTCCCAAGACGTCACTACGTAGTTGGAGGGCTGCAGTGGGTAAAAGAAGCGCGCCATTGTGGGCTCTCTGCGTACTTACAACACTTTTATGCGTGGCACACGGCGCTGACTGTACATTTCGCTATTTAACCTCACACCAGACCCAGTATGACGGACACTTTGTGCCTGATGTGCGAGTCTTGACCGTGCTAGCAACTACCGCGCCTTGAAGAGCATTCAACATTGTCCTTTCTTCGGTTGTTGGCCTTTAGACGTATGTTTCCATATCGAAATTTTTGCATACGCTGTATTCATCTCATCTGACTGGAACTGTCGGTGCATGAATTCGAATGAGACGTTTCTCCCTTTTCTCTCATATTCTCCTGTTACACCTTCGCATTCGTCGCTTGCATTCACTTTTATGTTTGTGACCATGCTCTTCAAAAATAAATGATAGTAGTAACAAAGTGGTGTCGTTTGATTTTTCTGTACATATTTAATGCGCGAGTACACATTGGTGTGGATTCACCAGAATAATTACTCCAGGACAGGAGGACGACTGTCCAAACGAGAGTGATGTGAATACGAACAGCAAGAAAAATAAGCCAACCGTCTTAATAATAGGTTTTAATATTGCCTACTTAATTTTAGTCAGTAGTACGGGTCAAAACCGTAATCCGATGAACTCATGGGGCGTAACCATCGGCCCGGCGACGCCCGAAGGGAGCCACTGTACATGTAATTCTTACGTTTTTCAGAGATTTACATGGAAGTGAAACTAAAGCTCGTGAACTTTCGCAGGAGGGATTACCCCGAGCAATCCAGTATTACTAAACCTTTGGCCTAGACAAAAAGTGGAATTTTCCGATCAGTGATCCTCACCACATAATGCTGTTTTTAGGACACCACCAATACGTAAGTTGAGTTCGTTGCACTCAGAACGACCGCACTTTTATTAGGATGATAGGTTTTTGTGCATTGTAGATTTCATATGTAAATCGCATGTTTTTAAGATGCAGCGCTGATAAGGTGTGTGTATTTAAGCGAACTTTGGGAACAGAGAAGAACCTTAGTTGGAGCATAAACCCCTGTTACGGTCTTCAGGATTGTGATTTGAAAGCATTCGTTGGCGTGTGATGATGACAGCTTGGTCATTTAGTTTAGGGTTCGGGCAAGGCCCATGTCCAGAAACCGATTCGCCCACTACTTCAACCTAACTTCCTTCGGAAACCAGTGGCTGGACAACATATGTGCATTTTTAGCTTACACAGTAGGTGATCTGGAGAGAACACTGTTCTCAGCGTGCAACCTCCATAGAAGTGAACATTTTTATTAGCTGACTTATAGCGCAGTAGATTTCTCTAAACGATTCTGGGCCAGCCTATCTCGAAAAGTTAAGTGGTGCTGTTAAGTTCCGTTATCCCGATTGAATAATCCTGAAAGCAAATTTTTGACACCATATAGTGTTACCGAAAATTTTGTGAGGTTTTGGAAAATTCTGATTTACTAGTTACTGCTTCATAATGTGTTTGAGTTCGACGCCCTTCACGGTGCATCCCATGCTTACTAACGGGATTGATTAACTCGTCTTATTCCTGTTTTCGTAAGTGACAAAATCGGGGTGGGCAATCCTTAAAATTCTGGTTCATCCAAGCTCATCCATTATTCCCCAGAAAACAGTACTGCTTGTGGTGACCACCGTGGTAGTTAAAACGGTGGACACTACTGCAAGTTGAAGTAAGTACTTGCTCACCAAGTAATAATTCACGGTTCCAGCCAAATCGTATCAAACTTTTATGCACTTTTCATGCAGTTGCCGTATTATATTCATGCTCTTCGAACCATTTTTATGAATGAAAAAAGTATGAGAGACTTGTGGTAACCATCTGATGTTTGCCGTGATCCCTAAACGAATATGACTTTCGCCCATTGTACCAAGGCTCGTCCGTAGAAAATGAATCAAAGTATTTGGGAAGTTTGGAGTTATTTTTGTGTATGTCCTAATTGCATAGTAAGGGTCTATTCACAATCTGGAGATGTATATACGCCTCGGGGTCACTGGCATTGGCGATCGCTGCCTAGACGCCTCTTTCAAACTATCAAATTAATACTAGGTTGAGGGTCGAAGCTATCCCCCGCGGGGCAGCTTTCTACTCAGGGGTCGTTTGAAATTAGTGTGCACAAAACATTCCTACGGACAAACACACGAACTACTTGAACTATCAGGGTTCTCTTCATCTCAATTTGCACTGTTATCTTAGTAGAATGTACTCTACTATGTAGCCTGTCACTGTATACGGCTAATGACATGTACATGTGGAGGTGCGAATCGTTTGGCTGGCCACTGATCCCAAATGGGTCGGATAAAAGAAAAATAATCTCACTAAGCTGGACGTTTATGTATCAGATTATTTGCCTCCTTACTTGGTTGATTTCGCCTAAGCTGGCTCAGTCACCTTATGAGAGGTTTTGTCGAAAGACTTAAGAATAACCTAAATAAGACAAACCACTCGAACAATATATTATGGCATCTGCTAACCCGTAAATGCCTCTCTTGTGCACTTTGATGCGGCCTTCGCATTCTCTAGGAACTTTAGACTTAAATGTTTCACTCCTATCCGTGGGTACCGAACACTTAAAGTGTACTAGTGTTGCTACTGTTTTTTAATCAAAAATAGCTCTCTTTTTTGACAGATGTTGAGGTTACCAGTACATGTTCACCCTCGTGCGATGCATGAACGTGTAAAGATAGTAAATTTCGTCAGAACTGTTCCTTGGGTTCTCAAATTTATTTTTATTGAATTGAGCGCAAATCTACATCCATCTGTGAGATAACCATCTGCTTTTTAACAAAATAAAGTATTAGCCTACTGGTCACGCAAGACCTATTGACTCCAAAAATAACTACTATATGCTCAAGTTTTGTTAAACTTCCAAGCAATTTGTATCATTGTATCAGACAGGCATTGTAACAGTCAGACAATCTTGCGGTTGCTTATGACGACCGTTTGCACACAGTCCCATGGGAACCTCGTCGTTTATGTAGGACTTATTATCGGACTGACCTCGAACTCAAAACACTGATGTGGGACATAGTCCCGTCATTATTTTTGGGATTAGGACCTTGCCTACTCCTTACCTGCAGTCACACCCGCACATGAATAACATCAGGGAGCAGCGTTTGGTAGTGAGCGGCAGGGAGTAATGGGCCAGACTGTCAAACATTTGGATCGTCTTCTGTTGAAACCTACACGGGAAAAGGTAAAAGCGACATAGTGAGCTGGGTTTGCATGACCAGCTCTGACCCCATGATTTGACGCCCGTTGCCGTTTGCCCATAGACACTATGGAGAATTTGGGCCTACAATGGTTATCGGCGCATAAGCTTCAGGAAGTCATTATCGTGTAACACCCACTGTTAGTTAAAGAACAAGCCAAACTGTTATTAAATGGTTACAGTGATGTAAAAGCTGAGTCATATTACATTCGCACGACACTGTAGTTGATCTAGCTTGAAATAGGGTTTTTCAGAAGACCATATATATTCTCGGACGAATAAACGGTCATATATCCTCATTCAACCAGCCTTCCTTCTGTCATGGCTCGGTTATCCCAGTCAGTCCACACCAAATTGGAAAGTTCTGGTCTCTAGAATTTCGTTCTCTGTAAAGGTCCCCATCATTGCATTTGTTGGCAGTGCCGAAACCTGAACCCCGACACCAGAATTGCGAGCCTAGCTTGTTACAAATACCCACCACACTGCACGAAACTAGCTTATCCGATCTGAGAGGACGAACTATTCTCTTGGAGTCTCACATAACACAGGATTATCATTCGTGTTCTTCTTTTTTGCGTGATAGTCCAAACAACCAACTAAAATCGCCTCTATGGGTTCCACAGTTACCTCATTTCGTACATAAAATTGTGATGGAAAGCTGAATTACTTATGCACCTAAAACGGACTGTGTGAAACAATGATGTTTTCTGATGGACACTCGAGACAGATTTTGTAGAATATACATAAACCTTTCATAATCTGACTTGACTATTGTGCATATATGTACTGTACGGCACCATAATAAACTCCAGGTATCTTTATTTCCACTGAAAGTGACGAAGTCCACTCGTTTACAAGTGGAGTCAACAAGAGATTCAACTGAATCCAAGCTGCACAAACGTCACCTCTTTTCTGGTTTTCGAGAAATGGTGTTGTGAACTTTAGTGAACTTTTGCAAGGAAAACTCATTCTCTCTCGATATATATATATATATATATATATAATTTGAAGAGCATCCTGATCGAATCGGTCAGTCGGCAGTAATTGAACGGTTAAATATCTTCGGATGGCAAAGACGGTTTGACCAGTGTGGAACTTGATGTGGCACTGAAGACCTAGGCGGTTTCGTAGATCCGAGAGGATAAAATCGACCGGTTAACATGCAGCAAGCCATGTTCCGGGTCTAACCATAATGAAATAAAGTTGAGCTACGATTCATCCTTCAAAATATAGAGATCATCTCTCTTTTTCCACAGGGTGGACTGTGGTTGCGTGGCTAATACAACATCAGTATACCGGAAAATCACACGGATGAGTTTATCAGCTGACATCGTTTAACTGTTCCTCACACGGGATTTCCATATGATTCATTTGAATTTAAGGATCTCACCTGAAAGCCGTCGTCTTGGTAACCGATTGAGCTGGACAGTGTCTTCGTATCATCGTTTAAAGTCTTGTTTGGTTGTCCCTAGTTTTTCAGTGATTTCTTTATTTGAACGTGACAGTTGTCAGTGTCAGAAATTCACATTGATCCGGAAGGTTACCGTAAACTTATTTGATCTATATTATGGTTACGTACTGGGTTCAGCTAATTCCAATGTCACGCTAGAAAACTAGGGATGCGCCAAATATCGATCGAGACTTGAAGGACTGCTCACCGATATCAAATGGTCCACACAATATTCATAAAATCCAGTGTTTGTCACACACTTGTGTGAAGAGAAGACAAATATTTTCGTAGGATAGAAGGCTAAAGTTGATGTTTTTCACTGCCGCAAGGGGCGAAGATGAAAATTTATCAAACAGTCACAATTTCTAGTTCTGACATAGAGGCTATAGTTTGGCTAGTCTATCCAATCGGTTTGGAGGTCACGTAGGCGTAACCCTAAATTCTTCAGAATTACCAATTCGTCCTCCAAACTTGAACTCCTCTCGAGTTTTCATCAGATATAAGTCATTTTTACGTTCTCTCCCGGGAGTTGAGCAATACCCGCAGTAAGAGGGTGGGCTCCCTCGGGATTTGGGGTGATCTCTCTTGATGGATCTATATACATATGTTTACATAGTGCACGTGAAAGGCGAGGCATGGCATCTCAGAATTGTTCACGTACTGGGGCCATCAGATGAGTGGGTCATTCCGTCAGCAACAATGGACAGATTGAAAGAGTTAGGTAATATATTCAGCGCAAAAAGGCAAGACTTGAAATCCGTAAAGTAGGAGTGATTGGACCGAAGCCCCAGGAAGGCTTTTTAGAGTGATGCTTACTTTTGAGCTTCGCCAGAGGTCATGCAATTTCCTGAAAGCGCAGATGGCCGGTGCAATTTGAAGAAGTAATCTTGGCTGGGATATCCCATATCCCAAGTAGTGAAAGCTTTCAAAGACCCTAATTGTGTTGGATTAAGTGAATTTTTTAACAGTTATGCATAATTGAATGAAGTGCGGGACACCCCGTGACGGTTAACTTTCCCCATTCCGAACAGGATTCTGGTTTGTTGCCATCATAAGGAACCTAAAGCCAACTTCCGAGATGAAATGAAATATCACTCCTACTGAATTTAGACTGGAAAGGCCAAACACGCAGAAAATACCATCCTGACAGACCATCTTGGTGATTGGAAACCACTTGAAAAGTTTGGCGCACACCTATAGTTGATCAGCTATTTCTTCTTTAGTTTTGTGGGGATTTTAAAGCATTTCCCACCGGAACAGGTAAATCCGTAATGAAGTTATGCCAGTCGAATCAAGTATTGCTTGGATATCCAAAAGCAGTGCAGTTTTTGGAGGCTGGCAAGTCTGGTGATGCTCTAGAAGTTACCGCGACCGACCCACAGTAGAGGCCAACTGGCTCTTGACAGCTCAGGAGTTCACTCATTTCGGCGTGACTTCAAAGGATGACACGGCGAAATCGTTGATGCGAATGAGCTAAAGGCTCCCACGGTCTGCTGATCGCCAAGAACTTTATGAGTAGTGTATACGAGGAAAACCTTACGTATCTTCACACTCAACGTTGTTACAATGTTCTTGTGTTCGGTACAGGAACTTTCTAAACCTTCACTCCCTGAGGTATCTGCTCCGTATTCTTTGTTTTTTTGCATGGCTCCCACACTTGCGCCACATTATTTTCAAAAGTTTGCACACCGTTTCGATTTCCACTTCTTTAATTAGAGCCCGATACTTTATCGATGATGGAGTAGTGGCGTCACGGAACAGCTGTATGTATTATGTGCCGCTCACCCACAAATAACGCTTACTATCACCTCAGGATGATTTAAACTCCTGCTATCTCCTTCTGGTATTGCACTTCGAGAATAGAACTATGGGACGACTTGCGCTGCAAGTAGCCTCGAACATCAGATGTGGGTCGCCACCATATAATGGTTGTCACATCGATGACAGGTATTGGCGACCTCTGAACTCAACGATGCCCTTAAAATATGGGGTTGACCGAATCCTGGAAGGGTACTACTTATATAGCGAGTTTCTGTGTTAAACTCTGAAATCTCTGACTGCTCTAGAATAGGAGGCTTATGAGTGGAATTACTTTAATTACTCCTCCAGGGAACATTAACTTTACTCTTAACGAACTCATTGATGGTGCTAATAAGACTATGAAAAACAAGTACCGAACACTTGCATTACCGAATGTTGCTCCAGAGTTTTGGATTTTACTCTAACCAGTTTACGTAACTGGTTATCAAGGCTTCAAATCAAAACTGGGTTAGCAATTTCGCCGAAGTGGACGTCGTGGTCAAGTAGTGTATATAAAGTTCGGGTGCGTCAATAGGGGTAGTCCATGCGTAATCGCAGCAAATAGGTGTCCGCACATACAGTAAATGACTGCACGAAAAAGGTTCATTTTGACAACGTTGTCCCACTCTGGGCTTGTGATAATCTTTCGGATCTTGGGGCAATAACTTCCTACATTGGAAAACCCACTTCTTTTTGCAGAGTATTTTGGAGAAAATACTGGCCATGCTGCTGGTTTTCTAGGCGCACAACCTGATGTCCACTTTTTCTGAGGATGCAAGTTCCTTGACAATGAAAACCAAACACGTGTTCCATGTGAGTGAGTTGTGTTTTTCGTATGCGTTCGTTTATGAGATAGGTAGAATGGTGACAAGCCTAGTCACTCCATTTCACCTTCCTTCTGATCCAGTTGGAACCATCCAGAGTCATGCGGTTCTCGATGCTGTTTAACTTTACAACTTTACAACTTTCTTAACCTGTGTGTAGACGTTACCCACTCCAACCTGGATGTTCGTCAGCTTTTCAGGCTGACCAGTCTGATTCATGCTTTATGAGCGCAGACCTAGTTCCGCGTGCCACATGGGTCCATTAACCAGGTAAACTGCAACTGTATGAATATGGGACTGGTAGCTGAGCTACAGGACGAACTGAAAGACGGACGCGCATCGTTTAACTTCCGAAAGCCGTTTACCTTACATTTTTTTTATTTTAGGTTCGATGAACTTCCACCCGCAACAGATCACCTTTCAAAAAAGATCACTTCAGGTCGAGCTCTTGGAATGATCTGCTCAAACGCAAACGTCCATACAGTAAGTATGTTGGATGCTTAAAAATTTCAGCATGCTACCCTATCAAAGCAAATTCAGTGGAATCTGGTGGTGTTAGAGTATGGTGAAGTAGAGCCAATAGGAACTACTGTCAATCTACCGACATCTCACTTGCGATCCGGAGGCTCTTCCGGAGGCTCTTCCGTCATGCCATGCAAAGTAATTCAATGCTTCAAAAGATACTTCCCAACCCCTGAGTTTCCCCTTCTGAATATTTGACTCACCACGCGTAGATACCAGCCCATGTAGCGTTGTAATCCTTAGTTCATTCTCTTTAACTGTCTACACAGTATGTTAATACGTGGCCTGCATCGTACAAAGAACGACTACATGAAGCCATAGCTGCGATTTTGGTGTCAGTTCACTGACAGACGATGTGCTGGTTGCTAAAAACGTCTTCCTTCACTTCGAAAATTAGGGATTGGAGCAACTCACTATTTTAAAACCGACAGCTGTTTTTAACTTTCCTAAAGCAGAACAGTCAACTTTCAAATAAGGGGGGCTTTCATCTATTTCAAATTAGATTTTCTGTTCTCAATTTTGTTAAGTTTCAGTGCTTCCTTTTGGTTTTTTATTGGGCTGGTCATGCTTCTACTTCCAGTTGGAGTAGATTAGTTGCACTAAAGACTTCATAATTCGGCTAGGTTTTTTATTTAGTTGAGCGCGAGTTTTAGCTGTTTTGTGCAATAACGGATGGAACTAGAAGAAAGCGCTATCGTGGTTACTATCTGGACCACTTTCCACACGAAAAGCAATGCCCAGTTTCACTAAAAGTTGTTTGCTTACGTGACACTTTGCATCACTCTACGTAAACTGCCCTCACTCTGTACTTGTTCTGAATAGTTGGATAGGTGGTATTTACCGGATGAATTTTTAGCTGGTGTTCACGGGACAGTTTCACATAAGTAAACCCTCAAACAGCCAGTATTTAGGTCATCAGATCCCATTGTTTCATTCCGTAGAGAGGATGACATCCATTTATTATTGGTTTAGCCACATCAACGTTTCTCGCCCACTTCCATCCGATTGGTCAGTCGCCAAAACGATCAATCACCACTAGCCTGTTAGATTTTCGCACACTGAGAAATGGGAGATGGTGGGAACTGTAGCTTCCTCAAAGAATATTTAAGTTGTTTATTATAGGACTGAACATAAATTGGCGATGTTTTAAGGCAGTATTTGGTTTTTAATAACCAAACGGTGCGGTTGGACAATGGTTGCATTCATGTGAGCGGTATGGGCGTGGAGCAAAGTCGACTACGAACCAGGAAGCATCAACCTGTCCTCAAACGTATGAGCCTGCCTAGTCAGTTGCCGAACCAATCCTCAAAAGTCACTAGAGCAATTGAGGAAATGAATAATACTAATGTACCTGGAGGTAGCTTGAGCGTGCCCGACACAAGCACAACAGGATCTGTTGGTTACTTTTCGAAAGACGACCGGTTTAGTGAATTTGAACAAGATGTGCTTTTGTCAACGTGGCCTTTGATAGCATCTGACCTCTACACACATGGATGCATGGTATTCAAGAATGCACTGCATCTGTTTCCTGACCTGGCAAAATTTATTCCCTTCACGTAAGCGATGAATATTTGTTCGTTTCATGAGCGTTCTTCGATATCTCTGTAATCAGTTTTCTTTATTCGCTCTCTGAAAGTAGAATGCTCTGGGCTTATGTATGTCCGACAGCAGAAGTTTAGTTAACCCAACCTGCTACTTTCTGAAGATATCTGATTGAATGTACTGTCGAGCTCCATCAGTCCAGTATGTCACCCGATAGACTGTAACTGTTTGTTTACCCACGGATTAAAGACTACCAAGATCAATAGCTAACTAACTTCCTGTATGCCAAGCTATCATGCCGCATTGGGTGTTTAGGTCTTAGCGATTATTTCTTTTACACGTTTCTCGAACCCATTTGCATGCATGCAATAGTGACACAGTAAGGTCGAAACAAGTGATCATCTCCTAGCTGGCTATGATTCCCTTAAACTTCGGGAAAACTTGTGTTCATGATAACTTG